GACTGATCTTCCTCGCCTGGGAAGAGCGCAATGATGGTGCCAACTTGGGCCAGTGAAGCAGCGTCCTCCACAACTAGATTGAAGAACAAAAAACGACAGCAACTTGTCTGTTCCCCTTCCCCCAATTTCCCATCCCCCCAATTACCCAATAAAAATCTTTAAAAAAAAAATAATAATATATACATTATGATAAAGTGAAAGAAGATTAACCCAATGAAGAGGATTCAAACTGAACTGGCAGGAACTACAATAGAATCTGCCCTCTGTTAAATTTCTGTGTCTAATAAAGAACCTGAAGAGTTATACTTTTCTAAGATGAAATAGCACTAAACATCTCAAAAAGAAAGACAGGAGGCCTCATGCTCCCTCTTTTTGCTTCTGGCTGCTCTAAAATTCATATGTAAACAGAGACGACATGAAGACTATGCCCCGTCTCCCCTACAATATGGTATGTAAATAGTTAAATTTTGGATACATGAATACTGGGCAGCGGAAAGTGACACAAGAATTTAGAAATCACACTAGGTTCCTGTGAGGCAGAGGCAAGCGCTGGAGGCCCATGACATTTTTAGAACAACTGGTAATGTTGAATCTCCTAAAAGATGCACTTTTCAAAAAACATAAAACTATAAAAATTTTCAAATACACAAATATAAAAAGTGTATCAGTATAATGAACCCCCACATACCCATCACTTAGAACCATTAATCAACATTTTGTTAAAGCTGTTTTCTCTAATTTTCCAGGTTGATTTTTTTTTTTTTAGATTTAAAAACAAACATCTGACAGCATACTATTTTACCTATAAGAACTTCAGTATGAAAAATATACTTTCTTGCTAATAATACTAAGTATTCAATAAATATTACTAGTTGCTATGGTTAGGTACCGTTCTATGTATTATACTTACATTTACATGTATAATTTTCACATAGCTAAGCCTCATTATTATCCCCATTTTGCAAATGAGAAAACTTGAGCTTTTACTTGCTCAAGTTCACACAGCCAGTAAGCAATGGTGCTAGGATATGAACCCAGAAGTTAGTTCTAGACTAGCTTTTACTCTCCCAACCACTGAAATATGATGCCTTTCCTTTACACTAGTTATTCTAGTGTTTCTTATGGGATATAGATTGTTGTGATAAAATGGAGCGGGACTGCTGAATGGGGGATGAGATTGGAAAAGATGCTATAAAATGAGCAGCTGCTCACTGCTTTTCTTGTGAAATTTTCTTTTCTAAATGCTTCAAATGAGAAAGGAAAATGTAACTAGATGTATCAGTGTCAACTGCTTAGGATATAAAAGAAAGTAAATCAACTCATGGAAGGAAAAGCAATGATCAAGCCTCTTCCCCCGAGGCTGAATATAGCCAAACTTCTTTTAATTTGCCCCTCCAGTGGCTTGAGCTGGGGGTGGGGGTGTCTCTAGTTCCACCAGACCTCTAAAATAGTTCAAGCAAAGGGATCTCACAACCAGAGGGCTGAGCAATCAGTATAAGTAGTATTTGACTGCTTAATGAAATAATTGAAAAAAAAGACAAAAAAAAAAGACCTGGAATAAAATTCTTCTGACTGATATCTCAAGAGTTCTAACCCTTTCACTCATAGGCTTATAAAACAAAAAACGACTACTAAATAATTCAAGATTTGTCAAAGAAAGGGAAGACTCCTGTGATCTTTGGCCAAAAATTCTAAAACCCTCCCTAGTGATCTTAGAGTAATTGAACTGTCTTCTCTGTAGAGCCTACCTAGGGCATCCACCCTCCTTTCCCCATCTTCCACTCTCCCCAAACACAAACAGTAGGGTTCTTTGTGTTCTCCTACTGCACTTTATACCTAATTCTATTAGAGCACTAATCAATATTGCAGTGTAATTATCTTTTCCTCCTCTGAATTATTAATTCCCAGAGGGCCAAGACCCTACCTTACTTCTCTTTACATTTCTAATCCCTAATCTTCAAACCTATCACCACTGAAAGTACTAAAGAAAGGTTTGCTGAATGAATAAAGAAGCTCAAGATGACAACATGGAGTGATCTTTCTGAGAAGGATTTCTTTTATCAGTATCTCTTTAACCTCTGCACCTTCAGTACAGCCCACAAGTTTACCTTTAGGAGTTTTCCCATCAGCCAATAGTTCAGGATGAATGATAACATTTTCTTGAGGCTGGAGAGAGAATCCAGTCATTTTGGTTTGCAATAGGTTTTAATGAACGAGGGATAATGCAGCTTGAAGAATCTGGAAGGTAGTCAAAGCCTTTCAAGAGCTTTTATTCAGATGCCAAGATGCAAGATGAAATTTTAAATGCCTGCTTTTTTTATATTTAAATGCTGAAGGCAAGAGGGAAAATAAGTAATTCCAAATGAAAATCAATGATTATTAAGCAGTTTGGTCCTCCACTTGTACTATTTTCAGACAAAAAACTCCCTAGCAAGAAAGTCAGGTCTGGTTACAACCCTCAGCCGTGAGGAAAGTACTCTTTATGCTGGTGTGAATCTCTTTGGACCCCTCTCTAATACTGGTTAGGCCAGCCACTTTGATGAAGTCCCCTGAAGTGAAAATTTGGGGGTAGGAAGTTATCTTTCTCACCAATTTAAGAAAATTCAAAACAATCTCCCAGTTTAAGCTATATTACACTGGAAAAAAAAAAAGTCCCATCACATCTTTACATGCCATTCTTTGGTTACCGTGTTACCTTGGTTAGGGTCCACTGGGTCATTTATATGAGCAAAGACATTCTTGAGATAAAGTTGCTTCTTCTGTTCTAGATCTGATTGTAAAACCGTCGGAACATTAGTCCTTGAACAAAGCAAACCAGGAGGAAAAACAGTCCATTAGAATCATGAGCATAGTGCTTTGTTGACAGAAGTCATATACTGCTAATCAATTAGAACTAACTTTCAGAGGCAAAATACTCTCTAAGATCCAGTGACAGAAGATAGTGTTTGTCATGTAGTACGAAGTTAAAATCAAGTATGGAGTTGAAAGAAAAAAGAAGAGAAGAAATATATACATCCCATTAATGAGGCATAGGAAAGTGAAGTCCCTAGAGAAAGCAAGCATTTGTTGAGTAATTCAAGGTTAGTCAGGAAATAGCTAACTTCATAGAGCCACAGAAAAACTGAATGAGATAGACAGAAAAGAACCAGCTAAATCTGGCAATTAGAACATCGGTGACCTTGGCAAGAACAATACTTGGCCCTTGCTCATCATGTTGATTGCACTACACTGAGGAGTCTGTGGATGAGAATATCGATAGTCAATTTATTACTGTTCCAAGTAGCCTGACTTGTGTTCTCTGGTATAATTTCCACTGTAAACAATTCATGAAATTTCCCTCAAATTATGCAAACAAAACAAACACACACAAAAAAACAGAAAACTGGAATTAAGGGTGGTAGTCAAAGGAGACTTTAGCCTTATTCGTAATATTTTAAATTTTCAAAAGCAAAATAAATGTAATACCTGTGTAATCAAAATTTAAAAAAAAAATCTCATTATAAAGAAGCCAATGTGACTCAACCTAAAAAGCTTTGCTAATTGAAAAGGCCCTGTAGAGACACTGCCATCTCCTGGCAACAAGAGCATAGGCTGAAAAAGTGACCCAAATCTGCGACATCTCTAATTTTTACCCAAGGACAGTTGCATGCAAGTTGGGAGAGATGACTAAATGATTCTCTACTGCTATATTTTAACATTTTTGTTAAAAACTATTCTAGCTTCCTACTATACCTGTGACCAGGTTTCTCTATACACAAGAAATAAAAAATTTACATTTATACGGTGCTTTCACTGATGTCATTTTTACTCTTCACAATAATCCTGTGAGGCAGCAGAGAAGGCACCATTAGCCTCATTTTATTAATAAACTGACGTCAAGGATTTGACTTGCCCAACGTCACACAGCTAGATATTGGTGGTCCCAGAACTTCAAGTATGCTTACTACTTGTACAAGGTTTTTCCCCACACTCCAGGGAAACTAAGGAGGAAAAGAAAGAAACTGAAGAAACCAAAAGAAACCAGAATATTCCTTTATACTGTTACCTCGTTTTGGCTTGCAGAACCGGAATGACTTTGCCTAGTCTTCTCTCAGGGGCTTTCAGCTTGCCAGAATCCTTGTCAGGAACATCCTGCTTTTTTTCAGAGCAAAAGGAATGCAGAAGGAAAGATGGTCCTTAGTTATAAGAAAATAACTGAATATGGAAATATTCTTGAACTAAAGGCCTGAGAGGCATATCCTTGACCCCTTGGCACTATGTTAGGTTCTTTAAATGAGATGGTGACTATAATCTTAAGAAAAAAAAAAGCCCTAAGCAGTAGGGATTATTAAACCCATCTGGCAGAAGGGAAATCAGGCTCAAAGGGGTTAAGTAAATTGTCCACGATTTTTCAGCTCTTCCAAGGCTGACTCAGAGATGGTGCTGTATCTACTACAGCAATATAACCAAAGATTGAGACAGGCTGAATCCCAAAGAAAGGAAAAATAGTGAAATCATCATCTTAGTAATTATTAAACGAATGGTAATTTAATATCATGTACATTACTGTAAATACATTACTTCATTAATCTTTACTATACAATGAAATATTGACTCCAATTTACCAATAAGAAATGTGAGGGAACAGAGAGGCTAAATAATTTGTTCAGGGTCACGGTGCTAGATGGGATTCAAACCCCAATTTGTCTGAATACAAAGCTCTGCTATACGGCTTCTGAATGAAAATAATTTTTTCTCTTTGCCTTAAAAATATATACTTACTTTGTTTGATGAACTGGAAATAACTGAAAACCTCGTTTCACAGCTCGATTTATGTGATCCATTTCTCCAAGATGACCCTGTATTAGGAGTCTCGGAATGGTCCAAAATCTGAGAGGATACCGGCGTAGGTTTCTTACTGTCATGCATACTTTTATCAGAGACAGTTTGTTTAAAGTTATTCTTTGAAGCAGAAGGGAGCAGAGGCCCATCCCAGGCAGAATTACTGGGGCTGATCCCTTCAGATTCAGTGCAAAGTTTGCTCTTATTTGGGCTAACACCATCTTCTCTCATCTCTTCTCCAAGGGAGGAGGGGTTTTCAATATCTTTGGATGTATCAGTCTTGTCCTTATCAAGCACAGCATCGCAAACTGTTGGATCAAATGGTGTAACAACTGTTAATTTTACAAGATTCTTTTCTAGTGCAAAGCGTCTATTTAATGGTTTAGTAGGAATTGGTCCATTACCAACTGATGTACTTAGTTGAGGTAATTTGAAGAGGCCAGGAGTCTCAGCTACCGGTCCCAAGCTGTACAATGAATTTTTCTCTTGTGGAGTGTTAAGTAGAATTTGAGCCTCCCTTTCTCCTTTCTTAACATGCCTGCTGTCACCTTCAAGCAACTCATCATCACAAGAAATATGCTCATTTGATAGGTTATCATCTTTTAAGAGCGCCTCAATCTCTTCCTCCGTGAAACTGAAATGGTCATCATCTTCTTCTCCAACAGACGGCTCTAGCAAGGAGTCATCTAATTCATCCTCATCCGAGGAACCCCAAGAAAATGGGGCATTGTCTTTAGGCAAGAGAGAGGTACCAGAAGGCTGTTCAGAGGGCACTAGTGAGCACATCATATCTGGAGAAATAAGAGGCAGTTTTGCTGAGGAACAGGAAATACCTTTTACCAACTCCAATCTGTTCTCTAGAGTGGTAGCGTCCTAATATTTCAAATTCTTTAAACTGTGACTTGTAACATGAAAAATAATTTAAAGATATTTAACCTTACCAGAATCATGGAAATACACATTAAAATAATAAGATACTTTTTTCCCTATCAAAATGGAAAAAATTAAGCTGACATGATAACCTAGGTTCGTGAGGATGTGAGACAAAGCACCCCCCCAACACTATCAGTGAGAGTATAAGTCAGCACAATATTTTGTGGAGAGTAATTTGGCAATACCATTGGACCCAGGAATTTCGCTTCTGGAAGTTTATCCTACAGGAATACCTATACAAATGCACATGGATAATTTACTAGGATGTCCAAAGTAGCATTATTCAAAACAGTCAAATATCGGAGGCAACCTGATTGTCCACTGCCAGAACAGTTCGGTAAAATCATGGTACGTTCATGCTATGGAATACTTGACAACTCCAGTAGTACTCCCTTTTCTGCTGTTTCGCTTTCCACTGTTTCAATTACCTGCAGTTTCAGTTACCCAAGGTTAAGCAAGGTTCAAAAATACTAAATGGAAAATTAAAGAAATAAATAATTCTTGGGCCGGCCGAGTGGCGCGTTGGTTAAGAGCTGGCTTGGGATGCCAGAGGGCCCCGGTTCGGATCCCACATATGAGGGCCAA